ATTATATGTTGACTCATACTACCTTGTTGATCTCTAAAATGGATCCCATCAAGTACATATTCGAGAAGCCAACTCTCTCCGGAAGGATAGCCCAATGGCAAATGGTCTTAACAGATACGAAATTCCATATACCACTCAAAAAGAAATCAAAGGGAGTGTACTGGAACATCATTTGGCTCATCAAGCTATAGACGACTACAAGTCTATGAACTTCGAATTTCCAAACGAGAACATTATGCTAGTTACAGATTATGAAGAACCTGGATCGTCTGAAGGACTTGAGCTAGTATCCTGGTGGACTATGGTTTTCGAAGGAGATTCTAACACACTTGGTAACAGAATTGGTGTTGTACTTATCTCTCCTCAGGGTTGTCATACGCCCCTCTGCCAGATTATTCTTTGACTGTACCAACAACATGGCTGAATACGAAGCGTGCATCATGGGTATTAAAGCTGCTATTGATATGAGAATAAATTTCTTGAGCATATACGGGGACTTAGCCTTGGTAATCAGCCTAATGAAGGGATATGGGATATGAAGCATCCAAACCTCATTTCTTACAGAGAGCATGTGCTGACATTAATTTTTTACTTCGAGGAGATCACTTTTGAGCAGATCCCACGAGGAGAGAATCAGTTGGAAGACGCTTTAGCAACCATGTCATCTATGTTTAAAGTCAGATGGGATAACGAGGCTCCCAGAATTACCATTGAGAGGCTAGACGAACTGACACATTGCTATGAAGTTGACACTGACGGAGTAGAAGAGAAGCCTTGGTTTCATGAAGTAAAAAGATACCTTGAGGTTCTATGCTAAGTTCTCCCTAAGTAATGAAATTCTATATAGGTGCAACCACGATTCGACTCTGCTTCATTATATGGATAAGAAAGAGGCGGGGAAGATTATGGAAGATATTCACGAAGGTCTCTTTGGTATCCATTCCAAAGGACATACTATGGCTAAGAATATTCTGAGAGCAGGTTATTATTATTCGACTATGGAAACTGATTGTCACCACCACTTAAGAACTTGTGACAAGTGCCAGATCTACGCTGACAAAGTACATGTTCCTCCTTTACCTCTCAATGTCTTGACTGCTCCTTGGCCATTTGCAATGTGGGGCATGGATATGATCAGATAAATCAATCCTACTGCTTCCAACGGACATCGCTTCGTCCTCTTCGCCATTGATTACCAAGAATGTTGTGGCCCGATTCATTAAGCATAACCTTATCTGTCAGTACGCTATACCTAAAAGTATCATCACATAAAATGGTATCAATCTAAACAACACTATGATCAAGGAACTTTGAACGAAATTCAAGATCAAGCACCATAACTCTTCTCCATATCGACCGAAGATGAATGGTGCAGTGGAGGCTGCTAAAAGGAACATTAAGAAAATTATACAAAAGATTACGGTGACATATAAATATTGGCAAGAGATGTTACCATTTGCTCTTCATGGTTATCACACTTCAGCTCGGACATCAACTGGGCAACCCCGTTCTCTCTAGTTTAAGGTATAGAAGCTGTCCTACCTATCAAAGTTCAGATTCCTTCCCTAAGGATCATGAAAGAGGCAGATTTAGACGAAGATGAATGGATTTAGACTAGGCTGGATCAGTTGAATTTTATTGATGAGAAGAGGCTTGCGGCTATTTGTCATGGTCAGAGGTATCAGAAGCGTATGATCAAAGCTTTCAACAAGAAGATCAAGCATCAGGCATATCAGGCTGGTGACTTGGTAATAAAACACACCATCCTACCGCAGGGTGACCCAGGGGAAAATGGAATCCCAACTACGACGGTACATTTGTAATCAAGAAGATATTTTTGGGTGTTGCTATGATACTTACCACCATGGACGGTGGAGATCTTCCACACCCTGTGAACGCGGACATAGTCAAAAGATACTACGCATAAAAATGACCCGCTAGGTTGACTGGGCTAGGCAAAAATCAGGGCATCCCTGCGAACCAAAAGGGTTCAGGAAAAAATCAGGGATATATATATATATATATATATATATATATATATATATATATATATATATATATATATATATATATATATATATATTACACCCGGCAAGTCAAAATCCTGAAAAGGCGGCTTGGGCAAAAAAGGGTATCCCGGTGGGACAGAAAACTTGAAAGGGTTGTCTAGGAAAAAATTAGGGATTAAAACGTATGACTATGTCCCGTTGGATCACTTACAATCAACTTTATTACCAACGTCAATTTCAAATGGTAAAGATCAATTCAATCAACTTTTTCTGAAAGCAAGGGATGAGATGCTTGAAGACAGAGGGGCATGTTTTTTTTGTTTTGTTTGCAAAAACGTCCAATGACCAAATTAAATGAACATATGCATATGGATATTATTACTATAGACAAATATATGCAAAAAAACAGGAATAAGTATTTACTCAAGACTCGAGGAGATGGGATAACATTCAAGTCATCCACAAATCCCCACAGAGCGATTCCCATAAGATTATCCCCCGCGGAGTCATCTTCATAAACTAGATACAGTCCTGTTGTACCCCAATTTTTGACCTAAGATCCCATCTTCATTTGCATTTTTATTCAAAGAAATTAAAGGCACGAAATATGGCCAGTTTTAACCTCTCAAACTTCTCCACAACTTCCTCAGAGCACATACAAGATTCCATCATCACTGGTTCACGTGTGCTTCAATGTGTCTTGGAATGCAAAAAAAGATCAGGCTATGTGAGATGATTTAAAGCACTTCGACCAAAATTCAACTTTTTGCAAGATCAAGTTCAAACGATCATAACTTCTTCATTATTCCATATTTTTGAGTGGTTCTTTTTGCGTATGACTCTCCTTGATGTCATCTCCCACTCCTCTTTACAAGTCAAGAGTTGATTGTATGTGGAGGATCATCTAAAATTCGAATACTTTGGAGGTCTTTTTGCAAATTTAACCTAATCACAAGAAACTCTTGTCCAGATTTCGAGGTTCATAACTTCGTCAATTCACAACGTCCCGAGGCAATTCTTTTTGTGAAGTGTCACAAATAGCATTGTCTATGATATTACTTCAAAGGTCGAGGTCAATTTGTGCTTGGTTCAATTTATGCCACAAACATTTTCTCAAAGGACGTTTGATTCTTATGTTAAGATAATTCATCAAATAAGTTGTTGAGTTTGAAGATTCATTGATCATCTATTGCTCGTAATTCAAGTCACTTGTGTTTGAGCGTTAATGATTAATGGAGCGAAGTTGGATTTTTGATTAAATTTCTTAAGGCATTTGTTTGTTCATTAAGATTCGATTCATTAAAGTTTTAACATTTACCTTTCTTTCAACTCATACAAATTCCTTTTGATTTAAGGTCATTATGCCAAGATTCAAACATTCATTATTTTAAGTTGCACACCATTCAACTTTCAAGACAATGTTCAAAATTCAAATGTCAAGTTCAAATGCCATTCAAAGTTGCAAATGTTTTTCAAGAGAGGTTCGAATACAAGGGACAAAAGTTCCATCCAATTTATAATGCTTACAATTTGGAATTATGGAAATTTTGAATTCAAATATAACAAATTACAAAGTCTAAACCATGTTTCACCAAAAGTTGTCATTTCACTCAAACACTCAATGTCATAATAAAAGTTACAAATTCAATCATCAAATGATCAAATACATCAATTCAAAACTACCAAGTCCTATTTATAAATGACATCAAGCTCCCAAAACTCATCCAAACCTTGCTTCAATTTTCATCCAAATCTGTCCACCAAAACAACCCAAATATATGAAAACAAAATAAGTCTAATTTCAAAAGAAAAAGAGAGGCAAGATACATGTATTGTTACATGGTAAAATCATAAAAATACAAAATAGAAAGGGACCTTTCCAATGATACTACACTCCAAATTCTGCTACTGCAATATGCCCAAAATCATCCATGCTGCAATGCTGCAAAAAACTGCATAATAATGCCAAAAGCTCCTGTCAAACCTGTGTCAAAACAGCCTACAAAATCTACACATAACCAGGCCACGTCAATCCAAACCTGCACCATGTCAGTTTAAGTATTTTCACAAGTTTAGCAAAACAAAATTTGCATAAATAAAAACAATGAAACAGGATACTGCTTGTGTTCAAGTTTCCCTCCTAAATTTCATATGGTTTTTCAGATATAAAACAGTTCCAAGACAGAGATAAAAAAGAGAGGAGAAACCCCCCAAAAAAAAGAGAAAACAATACAGTAAAAAAGACCCAAATAATTCACCTCCCATATCTATCGTACAACCACCAATCACCTTTCATTACTGATTCCTCCAACTTTGTTTTCTTCCATCAACACCATCCAGCCTTCACAAATACCGCCACTGTAAACCAAATTCCTTTCCCTCTCTCCGTGCACAACAGCTGCACCCTTCATCGTTCTCCTTCAACCTTCATCACACTGTCATCTCGCCATTATAGCTCTGCCTCCTTCCTCTTAAACATTCACAAACACCAAACTCCATTCACCCCCTTCAATTTTCCGTTTCTGTGTCTTCCATCAGTGCAGTAGTATCACAACCCATTCTGCTAACCCACCTTAAACACACCTTAGCTCACTCATACACAAAACCATCACCACAAAAGCATCTCTACTGTACATCAATTTTTCAACCTTGTTTCAGTACCCTTCACCGTTAATAACTCATCCTAATAGAAAAATACATAAGTAAATTACAGCTAAAAGGGTTTTGTACAAAGATAGGAGAACAAAATTTCATTCTAAATCATTCAAACTCAGAGCCCCGTGGAGATCCAGAGAGTTAGCATTGAACATACCTCAATAATCTTCGGAGAAAATCACCTCTGAAATGGAAGACGCTCCCTCTCTCGAACTTGAAACCCTTCAAACTTCAAAAACCAAACTCTCACTCTCTCTGTTCGGTGTTTGCTAAGAAAAAAAGAATATCAAAAATCACTTTCTCTTTCTCTCTCTAGCTTTATTTTTTTGTTCAACCATGAAGAAGCTCTACCATAAAGCGACGGTTCATCCAACCCCACCGGTCATCACCGACCAACTTTCCTTCCTTCCGGCCACCATCCTCACCCTAGCAGCTGCTCTCTCAACCGAAGACAGAGAAGTCTTGGCTTACCTCATCTACTGCTCATCCGCTGCAACCCCAACAGCCTTTACCGGAAACCCAAAACGGAACACCGTTAAGAACACCGATCATGCTACTCTCTTCAACTACAGTTGTTTCCGATGCTACACGAGTTACTGGGTCAAATGGGACGAGTCGCCGAACCGTGAACTCATACATGAAATCATCGACGCTTTTGAGGAGTGGTTGGCTCAGAGTAATAAAGGTGGGAAGAAAGGGAAAGGGAAGAAGAGAGAAGCATTTAAAAAGCTGAGGTATTACAATCTCCAACCCTAATCTTCTCACGTGTCAATTTTCTTCTTGTTTTTGTTTTGTTTAATTATTCTTAGTTTTGTTTTAATTGAAATAAGTATGCTGAAAAATGATGGTTGGGTTTGACTTCGGGACCAAGTAGTTCCATTAGGCCCATGCCATTTTATTTTTTTAACACCCTAAAGTTTAGTGTAATAAAAAAACACTTCTGGACTCATTTGTGATCGGGCCTTAGTGTCTCAATATTACCTCTCTGCACTCTTGATCCAATTTTGCTTCCATGATCTAACCTTCTACCCTTTTTCTTTCGATTTTAGTTGTTTAAGTTAAGAGTTGATGAATTTTTTTATTATTTTAGTTAGGTTTTCTTTATAACTTTAGTTAGTTAGATAATTTTAAATTAACTAGTTTAGCTTTTAAAATAAATTTAGTAAAACTTGTGACTTTTAATAGTATTTTAGCTTAATTAATTTTTTTTAGTCATTTCATTTAGTTATCTTTTCTCGCTTGATTTTCTTTGTCTCTCTAAATTAGTCTCTTATTAATTATCTTGACCTCATTGTTTCTTATTTGTTTGAATTAATTTCCTCATGATATTCCTTGACTGATGTTGTGATAATTTTGATTTAATTTTTCATTCTTTATTTTAATTAATTTTTGGTTGTTAACTATTTAAATGATTTAAGTGCTATTTTGTTTAAATTCTTTCTGATTATTTGATTTTTATACTTTGTTTGTGCCTAATCCAAGGGAAAGAATTAATTTGTTGACTTCATGTCATCGAGTATCTAATACGATTGTGTGAACCCCTTCATACATTTTTAATTTTGTAAATCTTAAGTTAAATCTCCTCAAAACCTAATTTCAAACATACACTCTTTTAAACCAAAACTTCGACACGAGGTCGTCGTATCTTCAAAATCTCATCCATACCCATTTTGACCAAATAAACCATTTTAATCAAACAAACAATTTTAACCGAAAAACAGATATTTCAAAAGGTTCCTGTGGAGTATCGCAGATGCATTGGGTGCTAATACCTTCCCATTGTATAACCAACCCCCGAACTCTCGATCTCTTTCAAAAAACGCATTGTATTTTATTACTTTTTAGTATTATTTTACATTGCATATTTTAGGGTTTTATTTCGCTCTTTTCCCTTTTCCCTTAGAAATAATAAAGCGCGGTGGCGACTCTTGCTTTTGCGAGTCAAGTTAATTAATAGCTTGATCTCCGATTTTCACCGCTACAGAATTGGCGACTCTGCTGGGGACAGATTGACCTCTTGCTGGTCCATCCCTAAGTGGGTTAAGCCTAATTTGTTTTATCTGTTTTATCATTATTTGATTGTTTGATTATATGTATATATTGTGATTATTTGGGTGTTGATAATATTTACAAAGGACAAGTCCTATACCCAGACTAAGTTACACTTAGGAATAGGACGGACGGTATAGTCATGTTAACTTTGAGGGAGTAATCCCGAAGAAGGAGGCATGAGATCCCCCACTCAGTGGAAGGCCCTTTTGAACGTAATATTTGTTTACTGAGTAATCGGGAAGACATTATTATTTTCGACCTGGGAGCCAGAGAAGCTGGGAACCGTAGAAGCCTAACCCATCTTGGCCTTTTAGGTGTAGCGCGGAGATTATAATGGAGTAATCCGGAAATAATTGTTACGCGATGCTACACTCGGATGAGTTTCTCTTGAGAATATTGCTGATTATTGAGTAATCAAGATGTTGGTAATATCCGAAGGAGGAATGTAGACTCCGGGAACTCTTAGAACCTTGTCTTGCAGGTGTGATTAAACCGTTAGTACATACCTTGGGGATGTTCTTTACCTTTGACTCCATGCTCGTGACGTTGAACCTTTCGACTTTATTTGTGACCTTGCTTGTGGTTTTTGCATAGCCATGCATTCATGCATCCATAAAACCCTTTTCACTTGATTTTCAAGGAATTTGGAGGTCTTTCTTTGTAAACATCACAAGTTTCGTCAATCTCAATGGATCCTGGGTGTTGATAGGGTGAAAACCCTAATCCACCATGTGATCGGTGGATCTGGAACTGACTGTTTAACGCTGGTTCGCGAAATGTCGCGGAAGCAAGAGTCGCCACCGTCTTTTATTTTCTCCAAATGGAAAGGACAAAAGCACAGAAAAATTCCTTTTAAGAGATTGCTCTCGGTTCGGGAGGTAGGTTATAGAAAGGGAAGGTGTTAGCACCCTTTCTATCCATGGTTATCCATGGGCTCTTAGATACTTGCTCAATGTGTTTTCAAATTGTTTTGCGTGCTTTTCAATGTGGGTTTAAAAGTTTCTTTGAAAAATTTCAGATCGACTCATACGTCAGAGTGTTTGAAAAGTTTGCTTTGAAAGCTTTTGAAAAGTGTCAGTGTGAAAAGTATTTTTATTTGTCTTTGAAATTAGAGCAAGTATCCTTGAGAACCTACCTACCCTAAGGAATTCGTCTGTGTAAATGTCCTTTAAAAGTAGTGCCATCCCACCATTGAGAGGTAGGTAGCACCACCGTTGGAGGTGTTCGGGTCAATTCGATTTTTAGGGACATGGTGATCACCAGAGTAATGGGAAGACACCTTAGAAGCTACCCTCATGCCAGGTTCCCGGATCATGAGGACTTACTAAGACGTCCTCTACTCGACGACCACCTTTCGAAAGGCAACAGTGAGGCGTACCCTAGGGGTGGTGTGTGCGATTCGTGTGTCATGTTTCAGTTATTTGTCTTGTCATGTTTGTCGTGTTCTACGCTTGATTTTAATTAAGACATTCATTCTTTCATGCTTGGTTAACAGTTAAATATTTGCGAGGAAATAAATCTAAACTATTACAAATGGCGCGGGTCCACATCGCCAAAATTAAACTGGACCCGATTTAGCGAAAAATAAATAATGCGAAGAAATAAAGTGCGAAAAGTAAATTACATGGCTTAGGGACAATTACATAATTATAATTAAACGACATAAGATACATATGCAAATTAAATAATTAAAACGAAACTAGGGCATTGGACCCTTTTTGCAAATAATTAAAATTAATAAGGACTTAAAAATTAAAATTAAATGAGAATGATATTTTTTGTGTTTTTTTTTTAGATTTAATGAAAAAAGAAATTAATTGAGATTAAATTAAACGGCAAACCCTAATTCTAATATTTTTTTTTATTTATCATGAAAGAATTAAATTATGATCTAAGTTAAACCCTAATTTATTTATATACAATTTAAATAGGAAAATAAATAAATAAATAATAATTATTATTCTAAAAAAGGGAAAAATATTAAAAGGAATAAAAAATAGCAATTAACCTAATTCTACATTTTTTGGATTTTTTATTAAAAAGGATTTAAAGTTGAAAACCTAATTACACTAAATAATCTACATTTTAATTTATTCATGAAAATAATTATTATAAAATAAATATTATTTTTTCTGATTTTTAGTGTTTTTATATTTTGTAGAAAAAATAAATTAATTGATAGCAATAAAAATAAATAATACAATAATCAAAATAATAAGAAGAAAAGAAAAAAACAAACCAGAGTGGGGTGTTGCCCCTAATAAGGAGGTAAGGCCTGGTAATTTAAGGCCCATCAAGCTTGATTTCGCTGACTTTCCTTGATCTTGTATGGCACGTTGACCAGCCTATGATATGCTCTTTGAATTTAAGCCTTTGATCTGTACGCACTGGACGCGTGTATGGTGAGATATTGATGGAATATGGTGATCCTCCTCAAGCGCGCTGCATAAGAATTTTTTATGAAAAATAATGTGAAACTTTTGCCAGACCTGGGACTTGAACCCAGGTCTTTGAGGTCATATGCCTAACACGTTACCACTGAACCACATGCATTTCAATTAACATATAAGAAACAATAAAGAATATAATAATAACGCGTTAGCTGTTTTGGAATTTCGCGCGAATTTCAAACTGTCCAATGGTTGATGGACACGATGTCGTCTCCTTCCCCTACCCTGTAACACAAACACTATGAGAACGGTTTTTACAGCGTGGTTTAAAGAGGGATTCAAGAAAATAGCGAATAGAATTCCTTGATCTATAAATCCATCGCGAGGTATGTGTCTTATTCAGAAGAACACGCTGAATGCAATGGTAACAATCTTGAGTCCCAATTGTTCCTTGGGTGAGAAACCCTAAATCAAGAACTCTGAAAACCTAATTTTTTGACAATGGCGAAAGCACAAATATGGCACAAAAACTCAATTGAACATATTGGTTAGTACAGAAACATCATTATAAACAAGAATCCATGAACAAAAATGCAAAAGAATGCTTAAATCATGCTATGCGATTTCAATATTTTCTTGGTTCAGTTTGACTTAGAGGTACCGATTCAAGGTGTTTTGCTTGTTGTTTTTGATTGAGAAACGTTTAGGGATATCTCAGGATGCTATTGGAATAAAGATTGGAGCTTGAATCACACTAAAACCTTGATTTCAGTATTGGTGTTTTTATGAGAAAATTCAAGATTGTAATGCTTGTTTATGCGCAGCTTTCAGTCTTGGATCATTAGGGTTATGTTCTAGTATATGTAAGGAATGATTTAGGTCAAAAACTTTGCACAAAATCTCAAGCATTCATGGATTTCAATATTTGATTTTGGAAAATCTTTTTCATATCTTTTTTCTCATGTATCTTGTACCAAATCTGATCAATTAGCACTAAAGCTTGCCTATTTGAGATATGCACGAATTATAGAGGCCAAATCATGCATGAAAAGATTTTTTCATGTTAGGTTTATATTTTTCATGAATTAAAATCATTTAAATGAATATAAATTCAAATAAATAATTAAAAAATATGAGAATACTTCCCCTTGGGCCTAGTGGTCGTGCATAGGCTTGGCATGAAGAAACTTGGAAGAAAAATGGGCCCATTTGCATTTTTAGGCCTTTTGCATCAATGTTGACTTTTCAAAATTCCTAAAAATTTCCCAACTTCCACAAGGCATAACTTGGTCAATTTTTAAGATTTTCACATGT